ATCATCATTGAATTATGCCCATCCAGACTATTTTTCTTGTACATTATACAAGACCAATATTGTCCAACCAGCATTGAAATCTAAACTTTGTCCAGAAAAAAAAGAAAAGGTATGTAAAGTGTGGAATGAAAAACTTATTTTCTCTAGTAAACTTCCATCCAAACCACAATAAAAAGTTAAAAATAAAATTTCTAGGAAAAAAATATCTACAAAATTGTATTTTTTACACTTTTGTAAGTATAAATGTCATTATTACAGAGCAACTGAGCAAGATTTTTTTTTTTATCCGAAGAGACAAAATAAAAAGGGAAATCCTACTATGTTTCACTAATGACTCTTGAGTGAGCTCTGGTGGCCTGGTTGTAGGAAGCTGCAATCTCAAAGGCAGGCAGTTCGAATCCAGGAGGTGCTCCATGGGAGAAGGATGAGCAGTATCTTCCTGTGTGGTTGACTAGCTCTGAAACCCCATTCAAGGGTCAGTTCCAACTCAATGGCATGCAACAACAACAACAATTCTTGGGCAAATTAAAATAAAGATGTTACAAATTAACCATTGAAAGGTTTTACTGACTCCTTCTGTGTCCTATTCCTCCTTTTCTGGGTTGTAGCTGCTGTTCTACAAACCACCAAGCTGGCTGGGATGTCCTTAGATAACTTAATCAGCCTCTATCTGCCATCAGTAGTTCTCTGTACTTGCTCAACCAGAAATGGCACCAGGGACAGAAGGAAGCGTGATTAATAAAGAGGAAGAATAAACTAATTACTAGTTACCAGAACAACAAACAACAGTTTAAGGTTCCAGTCATTGGAAAATGACATCATGCTGAGAGAAGTGGAAGGTTGGAGAAGAAAAGATCCTCAATAAGAAGGATTGATATGGTGACTGTAACAATGGGCTCGAGGGTGTCTCGGATTGTGGAGATGGCATAGGATAGGGCAAGGGTTAGATCTGTTGTTCACAGAACTGCTGTGAATCATAGAAAGAGCTCTGTTGGCCTAGTGGATAGAAAGTGATGCTACCAAGCCAAAGGTAGGTGATTTTAATCTGCAGCCCTCAGGCCTGGTTTTAATTGGTTTTGGTCAAACATTCTTCTAAGTGGTATAGCCCTGGTCTGTCCATTTGCTGTACAGCAGTAACTCATGGTTACTGTGATAATAAACACTGTGACACTGATGTGTCATATGCGATAAAGGTTACCCATGGTAGACAGTGTTTGGTGGAGCTCCCCAATTAAAACAGGAGTGACATCCACTTCTGAAATAGCTTGCCTCCAGAAACTCTATGAACTTGGAGAAACAATGAAGTGTTCAGGTCTTTCATTCATAGGGTTGCTATGAGTTATCTACGACTTGATGGCCCTTAACAACAACAGTTACTAGAAAGGCACAAGTTAAAGAACTGGGATCAGAGTATGCCTTGGCTCTTTTTCAACATAAGAGCAGAGTTGAAATTCAGAGTATACTTCCAAGAAACTAGAACATGACTGTATATTCCCCAAAACTTGGTGCCATTAAATTTATTCCAATTCACAGTGACCTTCTCTCACGTTTCTAAGGCTAAATATTAAAAGGAGGACTGCACATCTTTCTCTTGTGGAGGTGCTGGTGAATCCTAACTGCTGAAGTCTCATAGCCTTTTGGATAGCAGCACAACAAAGCTCCTTGATTGTAAATGAAACATTTCTATTCTCATTCTGGGTTGAGCTCCAATGGCCTAGCAGTAAGGAGATACAGTGCTAATCCAAAGGCATGAAGTTTAAACCTAACAGCTGTTTCTTGGGTAAAAAATGGGTAACCTCCTCCTGTGTACAATTTACTGCCTCTGAAAACCCACTGGAGGATCAGTTACATGTCAGTTGAAACTTGATGGTACGTAACAGCAACTGCATTGCCCTTTAAATTGTTCATGTGAAATATTAATTAGAAAGCCAATCTGAAAATAAGTAATATGTCCCACCTTCCCAGGGAGGCTTTTGAATAGGTTCTGTGTAACCTGCAGTGGTTTTAAAACATGTAACACAGTGTAACACAAAAGAGTCTCACACTCGCCTATAAGCTGTCACAGTCAATACTGCAGGCATGGAGCTGAATGGGACCAACTTTGCATCATTGTTCTGGAAAGCTGGGAAATACCATTTCATTTTTCAAAGATTTTAGTGGAAACTAATTAATTCCAGAATCCAGTTTCACTCTCATTATTTGTTTTGTGCTTTGTCAAACAAATTACTGTCTACTGTTCTGACAAATCATCAACTGTGACTAAGTTACAAACAACTCCCCAGCCAAGGCCTGACAAACAAGTTTTCAAGGTTCCTTATAATTGCAGGTCTGGTTAGCCTGCCATGTAACTTCAATGAAAAGGACATATTTTTATGTTCTTAGATTTATATTAAAATATATCATATCATTGAATATATTTTCTTATATTTTCAAGAACGTTATGATGATAGCAAAACTGAAAAGCATAGAACATTCATGAGAAAAGGTTCCCTTCCTCAAGCAGCCACAATCTAGCCAACAGACATGAATATGACACATGAGTTAATAGTAAATACACCAAGTTATACCACAATTGCTTAAAGATATTTCGAGATTAAAAGAAATACTAAAAATTCATAAAGAGATGGATTAGAAGGTTGTTCATTGAAATGAAAAATAAACAACCTAAATTAAAAAAAAAAAAAGTTTCCTAGAAAAGATGAGCGTTTAACGTGGACATGACAGGCAGAGAAAATCTCATGGTCAAAAGTTTAAAATAAGGTGCATGAAGTGGGGTGGAAGTGAAGAGGAGGTGGTAGTTGAAAAATAAAACAGAGTTTTTGATTTCTAGAGAACAATAAATGCAGAAGCAGTACTGATACCTAAGAGAGATTAGGTATCTATAGGTTTTTGAAATAGGAAGAGACAGTAGTCTTCTTTTGGCTCTAGAGCAGAGCTGGCCTGAGGTAAAGAGCCTTCTTGAATGCTGGCTTTGTTCCTGGAGGCTGCCCAGCCCCGCAGGAGATGAGACCCAGATGTCAGCCTAGAATGACAGAAGAAGCCAAGTTTCACTCCATGACGGAACCAGTCTTAACAACCAGCTCATGATCTTGCTTCATGGGAATGGAATAGGAGTGCTAGAAATCAAGACAATGAAAAATAGAATTCCCCAAGCACTCAAGAGAGCTCTAGTAAGTTAGTGTTAAGAAATTGTGCTGCCAATCCAAAAACATATGATTTGAATCCACCAGCTTCGAGAGAGAAAGATGGGCAATCTCCTCCCATGTTAACAGCCTCAAGTCAAAACCAGAGGGTCCGTTATAAAGCAGTTTTGACTCAACAGCATGTAATAACAACACAAAACCACCTACACATCTAGAAAGAGACAACTGCATGATCAAAGTGGGCTGGTATCTTGAAACCTAGAAAAAAAAACCTTGGAACCTAGAAAAGGAGATGGTTTCTTCACTCATAGGTCCAGTAGCAAAAGCTCCTCTGATGGTAACATGGAAAGCTGGTTATAGTAGAAATTGAGACCTCGCTTTTATTACATTTTAGAAATATGGGGTACCTGCTACATCTGTACTATCCAATATGATAGCCATTAGCCACATTTGACTATTTAAAGTTTATGTAGCTCAATGCACATTTCAAGGGCTCAATAGCTGCCCATAGCCAGAGGTTACCATACTGCCAATATACAAGATTTCTAACAGTGCTTAAATCTAAAAGGTTGGTTACTTGAATGCTTGGGAATTGGTATTGATAAGGCATTTGTCATATGATATCAGATACCTTAGAAAGTGAAACTATATAGTCCCTTGCTATTCTTGCACATCCCTCAAGTTGTAGCTGGATTTTCTACTATGTGCTGGTCTTTGAGTTCAAATAGTGATTTATTCTATTTACTGTATTATAATTGCAGTCTCTGCTAAGAGGACTAAGCCTCACATACAGAATCTATCCTTTGTTCATTATTTGTTACGTAAAAAGGAGTAGGAGAAAGGGAAGACAAATTACAACAACAGCAACAATTATTGAGCTCATATTATTTCCCAGGCAGCTTAAATACATGATTTATTTTGGCAGCATTATTTTTTCCCCATTTTGCAAGTGAAGTTGTGATTTAGTTGTGGTTTAATAAATTGTCCAATGTTATACAAGTGATAAGCAGCAAAGCTAAAAATGTGTGTCACTCACACTCTTTTCTATTGTTCCCAGGACCCTTATTAAGCTCAATAAAAATGTGTTGTCATTGAGTTAGAACCGACTCATAGCTGAGCCTTCAGCAGATTTTCAGAGGCTGTAAATTATACAGAAGGAGATTGCCCATCTTTCTTCTGCAGAGTGGCCAGTGGATTTGAACTTCCCACCTTTGTGCTAAAACATGTATCAATACAATATTTCTTTTAGAGTAAATGTAAAATTAATTACATAGCCAAATTTAACAGGATACTAACTTGTGAGGATTCTATGATTGAATTTAGAGTTTACATGGACTCAAGGGAAATGTGGAGATGACCACTCAGGAAGAGGAAATAGCAAATGTAAAGGGCTGAGGGCACAAAAGCATTCACAGAAGGGATACACAAAGGTTAGAGGCACAGCAGAGGCACTTCTGAGTGATCCCAACCGTTGTTTGGGGTTTCCCCCCCCTACTAGTTTATTTACAAAATTCAAATACATTGTTTTCAAGAAAAATTCTTTCCTTTTCCCTCACCCCTCCAGTCATCAACTTGTACAACCCCATGATTAATCCCTCTCTTTCCCTGCACATCCTCATCCCTCTGCTTCCACCCTCTCCCACCTCTCTTGGATCTTTATGTTCATTCTACAATGATGGTTTTATACAATATCTATCTTTGTGAGACAAAGTGTGTTGAGTGACCCCAACTTTTAACAAGCATCTATTCTTTGTTCTGGGGATTTCAGTGTTCACAGAAAATTCTCCACTGTGTTAAAACTGCCTTCTGAGAGGCTAAGGAATGACATCTTATTTGAATTTTTAGTCCAACACTTACCAGGAGATAAAGGAAAAATTCAATCCCATGACGACAAGACTGACTGCATAATGCCAACAAAAGCATATGGTGAGGAAAAGAAGGTTGTCATGGTCCGTTGGCTCCCATACAAGACCTCCATAGGGGGAATACAGTATGAAACCAATCTGTAATTTATTTTTAAAAGCACACATTAGAATAATCACATTTCCAAAGATGATTCAAGTCAAAATGCTAGATTCCTAGGAGAAATAGCATGATACATTTCCATTATCTAAGTGGCCATAGATAAAACACCAAGTCGTGCTTACCGTTTTAGTGTAGACAATTTATAACAGGTCACGTTTTACAACAACAACAAAAAGTAAATTTAAAGGACCATTAAAGATTAATGTTTAAAGCATGGATAATGCTTACTTTAGGGACAGATTTTCAGAGACTGTCCTGAGTTTCTAAGAAGCATAGTTTCATGTCATTATTTCAAAATTAGACCTTAAAATAATTATAAAATAAGCAAATATCTATACTTAACATTATAATCAAAGTAAAAGATTGCCACTCCTCCCTTTAGATTAGGAATTTTTAAAAGGCCTTTCACAACTTCTATTCAAAATTGCACTGGATGATCTAGCTAGA